TTAGTTTTGGTTTGCATTTCTCTGATGATCAATAATATTGAGCACATTTTCATATGCCTGTTTGTTATTCGCATGTCTTCTTTTGAGAAACATCTATTTAGATCTTTTTCCCATTTCTAAAATTCATATTATTATTTTATTCCTGTAAAGTTATTTGAGCTCCTTTTGTATCCTCATTATTAATCCCTTGTCAGATAGATAGTCTGCAAATATGATCTCCCTTTCTGTGAGTTTTGTCTTTGTTGATTGTTTCCTTTCCTCTACAGAAGCATTTTAACTTGGCGTGAGCTCATTTGTCTATTTTTGGTTTGATTACTGGTGCTTCTGGGGTTTTACTCAAGAAATCTTTGCCTAGTCCAATATGCTGGAGAGTGTCCCCAATGTCTTCTTTTAGTAGTTTCATAGTTTGAGGTCTTAGATGTAAGTCTTTAATCCATTTCGATTTGCTTTTTGTGTACCATGGGAGATATGGATTTAGTTTCATTCTTCCCCCATCCAGATTTACAAAGCATTTCTCCAACATTCTCTAATATTTTTATACTTTCTGTTTTATATATTAAAACTTTCATCTATTTCAGTGTAATCCAGAGAATGTTTAAAGGTATATACAAGTTGATTTTTTTTTTTTGAAATGGCTATCCATTTGTTCCATGTTAATTATTAAATAGTGCCTACTTATTCTAATAATCTGAGGGGGCAGTTTTATTATATGTTATATACTTTTTAAGGTCTTGGATTCATTTTGAGACTTTGTATTTTGTCATATTTGACTACCAATGCAGTGGTGCGATGCTTTTCATTAATGAAGCTATGTAATCTACTTTAATACATGGCAGAGCTCATTCTATACCCCACTTGTCCACACGATGTGCTTTTGCAGAGTACACTTGACTTTATTCATCTTTATTTCCACGTGAACATTAAGAAATAAGATGTCAATTTCATAGAAAACAAAGATAACATCATTTTTTTTGTTAAAATCTCAATAAACCTATAACATAATATGAAGAGTTGAAATCTTTAAAAGTTGTATCTCCAGTATAATAAAAGTTTTTTAGGGGGAAGGTTATTATTATTTTAAATTTACAGATGAAATTGTATGTATTTACCATATACAACATGATATTTTGAAGTATATATACATTGCAGAATGACCAAATCTAGCTAATTAACATATGCATTACCTCATATAGTTATCATGTTTATGGTAAGAACACTTTTGAAATTATAAAACTCACTGGCAAAAGTAAACACATTGTAAAATTCAGAATATTCAAATACTGCATGGTAGTGTGTATATTACTAATATAATTAGTATGAAGGTTAAAAGAAAAAACTATTAAGAATAATAGTAGCTACAGCATAATATATCTTTAGGATTTTCTTTCAGATTATGTATGCATGCACCTATACTACAGCAATATCAAAAGTTTTCTCCATGTAGAGGTTGCAAGTTTTTGTTAATTTTAGTCCTATGCATTTAAACATTTTAATTCTTGTTTGTAAGAAATATTTTCTTCCTTATGATTTAATTAGCTTTGTTCTGTTTATGAAAGTTACTTATTTCTAATTAACGATTTAATTAAGAGAATTCTTTCAAAGCATGTAAAAATGCTTTAAAAACTTTCTATAAGTGATATGAATGAAAAGCACTAAACCACTTTTTTTAATACTCAGCTTTTTAAAAAATCTTCAATTGAAGATTAAAACCAAAAATTAAAACTAAAGTCCCTAAAATACTTAATATATATATATAAATAGCAGACATTTGACAAAAGAAGACTTGAACGTAGAACAATATACAAAGAAAAAATGGATTTTGATAAGGATTGCTTTGTTGGTATAGCACTTCCTATTTTCACAAAAATTGCTTAAAATTTAAAAAGTAATGTATAATGCATAGATTATAATTAACATACTGGAAGGTCTTCTACAAGAAGATCCATTATTTTGTAAAGGAAATATAAAACTTTCAAAGTAAATTTTTTTTGCAATATCAACTTGCAAATGCAACAATTACTATTTGTTTAGAAAAAAGTTTACTAGTACATGTTAAGTGTTTTAACTCTGTATGTTTATCTTAGATAAGCACACTGAAATAATGACATGCTTCAAGAAGAAAGAGATTTAAAAGAATTTCTGTCTTATTTTCTTTTTTTTAGCTAGAATTGTATCTTTTCTTAAGCATTATTCATATTGTCTTACTTCACTTCACAACTCTTTATCCACTCTGTCAGTAGCTCCTTTCCTCAAATCTAATAATACACATAATGAACATAGATGATGATTTCGAAAAGAAACAGTGCATGTCAGCTCTTTCTCAAGATGTGCACTGTCGACCAATTGTCCTTGAAAGGTCTTCTTCTAATTAATTACCATCCCTTCTCTGTAGAGCAATCATATTGGCAAGAATTGATTGGGCATGTAAGATACTTCGTTTAGTTGTTAGAGAAATCCCTTAATTAAAATAATTTTCCTGCTGGTAAAATTAATGCACCCCATGCAAACTCACCAGCATAATTTTAAAGTTCCTCTTCAATTACATTTTATATTTTATGAGGAAAAAAGTAAAAAAAGATCTTAATGGCAATTACCAAAATAAACAAGATGGAATTTTGCAATACATAAAATGTATAATTCTATTTACATATTTATTTTCATTTATTTTAACTTCTATTTTGTTTTGAAAACTTGAGAAGTTTCACTGCTGAATCTTCATATTGAAATTCAAAATAAGTTTAAGTGTTTTACTTAAACATTCATTCAGCCTATGCATTATCACACTGCTTCTTTTCCATTGGACAACCCAACTCATTTAGATTCTCACATGTAGGGGTCGCAAAATTTTTATTTTTGTTATGATTAGCTATATTCAGTAAGTTCTGTCCCATAATTCAGGAAGAAATAATGATGAAATATGCATACATTGTTTTGAAGATAATTGCTTTTTGCTAAGTTATTCATGAGTAATTTTAACTTTGTATTACACCACCCATTTTCTAAAACATACATTTGTTATTGTACTGCCATTAATAAAGTTGACTATATTTGCTCAAAGCTGATTTATCCATGAGCAATTTGACTTGCTATTATTCATTCCATTTTCCCTCAAAAATACTTTTGCTATTTCATCATTGTGAATATGTTCTCTGTCGCAATTTTTTGTTCTCAAAAGAAGTTTAATATTTAAAAATAACCAAACAGATAAAAGCATTATTCCTACTATGAGACAAAGGAAAATCAAGTTCAAAAATGGTGCAGGCACTGAAGTATGTGAACAAATTTGGTTGTAACAGTAGATAATATTTCTCAATGTGCACATGAAAAGCATTTAGGGATCCTCAAAAAATACTCTGTGTCCATCTCACTACAATTCCAGTTTGATTGTTCTGTAGTGGGAGTTCACCATTAGTATGTTTCAAAAGCTCCTCAGATGATTCGAATATGTGGTCAGGGTTTAAAAACAACTGAACTGACACAATCCCTAAATAGTCCTGAAGTTAATTCCTCTAACCTCAAATATTCTTATTTCTTTGTTTTGTCTGATTGTGTCATTTATAAAATAGTAAGTATTCATAACAGAGTCTCTGAAAGTTCCTTTTACCATCAACATAGTATTATCAACAATGCTTTGCTCTCTTCTACCACTTTTGGCCTTCAGTGTGATCTGATTAATGAGCTGATAACTATTTCTGTCACTAAAGGTTGTTAACGCTACAGTGTACTATTTTATGAGCATGGTGAAACAAATAATCGTGTTTTCTGTTTAAAAGGCTAATTGTTAGTTTACTTCAACACTGTTGTGATGTAATGCAATGTTAGAAATTCAGCTGCTGTCAGTTAGCTGTTACTCAAAACATCAAACTATTAATTTGCTGGTTGTTTGTAAATTGAAGTGCCAAAATATCATTGTCAGAGGAAATATTCTTTAAAAGAATGAAAATATCATATAGTCTTAAGAATGTAAATCTAATTTGCATCACCTAAGTTAAATACTACTAAACATGTAATCAAAGAATGAAAATTATGTTCATCAAAAAAATTGAGATAGAAATTGAAATTCTATAAAACAAAAATATACATGTGAATATAAGTATTGAAATGATTTCATTTCAAGTATGTAAGACAGAAAACTAGGCGTCCTATTGACACCTTCACACTTGCTATTTCCAATTCATAAACAAGATCTTCCATTTATTTCAAGCTTCTAGCATTATGACTCACATTATTACTCCAACCAACTCCCTAGCTTTTTTTCTTCTCTTCCATGTATTTCTCTACTTGCTATAAAATTATCGAATGTGTCAAAAGCTATAGTAATTTTCTATTCCTTTTAGAATAGAAATCAAAATATTTAACCCAGCATTTTAGTTCTGGCTTTATCCCCTCCATGGAATTGTTATTAGTCTTCTCACAGCCCCAGACAGGGCTTCAAAGACGCCACTTCTTCTAATATAATGTCTTTACAAATACAATTCCCTCAACCTAGAATCCTCTCTTTTCCAGCTTCTCTGCCATGACATTATTCTCTATATCTCTCTTCAGGGGTCATTTTCTTAGGGAAACCTTTTCTGACAATGCAACTCAATCTCTCAATTGCCCAGTTTTTTTTTTTTCTAAACAGGCTTATTGCTTATAAGCATTCATGGAATGCTACTTGTTTTCATAAGAGCATTTTGATTTTAAATAAAATTACATAGTTATCACTGTATTTGTCCACTAACCACTCACTTCCAACAAATGGATTTATGAAAGTAGGAAATAGCTCTAGTTTACTTCACTATTATAGATCTTGCACCAAGTAGATTTCCTAGGATGTAGTTGGTGTTAAACACGTCAGTTAAAGGAATACATCGGAAAATAAGAGTATTTATTTCATTTTTATTTTATATTGTGTTTTGAGATATAAAATACCTTGTGTGTTTAGAAAGTGAATACTTGACTAGTAAATTTTGAAATAATTCAAGCAGATTTAAAAAAAAATTACATAAATTTGTTACCTGTAAATCCCAATTGCCACACATATTCAAAATGAACAGGACCTTTATCCTGGCAAATACCATGGAAGGTGATTCCATAGTAGCAGGGGTATAGATGAATCAGGTGAACATTCTTCAAAAACCAAAATGGATTTTTTGTGCACCCTGGAATGCATACATACTACAAAAAGGAAACAAAGAAAAATGGTAAATACCTTTTGAAATATTTTTCTATATATATATATATAAAAAACATAAACACAAATTTTCAAAACCATTGATTATAGAAAGCTTTATGGGAAACACTTTTTATACTTCTCTTTATTTATTCTATTTCTTTATCTTTTCTTTCTGTACCATCTTTTGTCATTCATGTTCAAAAGCCTATATGATAATCTTTTAGCTCTGACTCACTCTCAATATACAACAGTCCCTAATCTTCTGTTTGATGGGCTATAATATATCTTTCCCCTCACAAATTAAAAATACCTATGATATAAATTAAGAGATACACCATTTAAAACACTTATAACAGTAGAATTAGCACAATAAAATGTCATGGTAGTGTTCAAATTAGACTTTTGCTATCATTTGAAAATAGTTTAAGATAATAATATGATTTGTTTATGTAATCTCCAGCATCTTCAAATACAAAAATCATATATAGTTATATCCACAACTGAACTAACTAAATGTAAACCATTTTAGGTCACATTGAGGTCATCACTAAGTTTTAGCACATGTTACACTACTTAGATATTAGGAAGACATCAACAAGCATGAAATCTAAGCCCTAGAGACAAACTAGTGCTATGCATTCTCTTTAGAGCATACCCCTCAATTATTTCTACTTCTCCATGTTTTTGATTAACAAATCTCCCTTGAATTAGGCAGAGAAAAGTACAGTTGAGACATGCAGTACAAGGAATCTAACAGTTCCATTAATGAAATTACTACATTAAGTAAGCATTGTTCTGTTTCAAGTCATGGTGGTCTACCTGGATTTGCAATCACAATTTCCTAGTTGCACAACAACCCTAAAGTATGAGTCAACGCTAAAGGTGAGGTAAAAAAAAAAAAAAAAAAAAAAACGCCAGGCGTGGTGCCTCATGCCTGTAATCCTAGCACACTTTGGGAGGCCGAGGCAGGTGGATTATCTGAGGTCAGGAGTTCAAGACCAGCCTGGCCAACATGCTGAAACCCTGTCTCTACTAAAAATACAAAAAAATTAGCCAGGTGCAGTGGCACGTGCCTGTAATCCCACCTGCTCTGAAGTCTGAGGCAGGATAATCGCTTGAACCTGGGAGGCAGACATTGCATTGAGCTGAGATCACACCACTTCACTCCAGCCTGGGCTACAGAATAAGACTTTGTCTCAAAAAAAAAAAAAAAAGGTATAATTAAAAAAAAATAATTATCATTTAGTAATATTAAATGACTACCAAAATAATACAATTGTATGATATATTTCCAAGCTGTGAGATGATCAAAAGCTTTAACCCATGACTTTTATACTGAGACATCAAATGTTGAACTCTACAAATGGCATTAACCAATCTTCACTGTCAGTGGAGATTGCCTTTATTGGATTTGGGTCCTCATTGTGATAGAAAACATGAAGGCCTAATGAATTCTGAATATATGACTGTACAAAATAAACTTAGCAGAATAGTACATTATTCATATTGATAGGATCCTATAGAGTCATTTCTTCACTTAAAACTTAACAAAACAGTAGATAGTTTTATCTCTCATCCCCCTCTCACCCTTCCCTCTGAGTCCCCTGCATTTTGAGTACAGTGTACACTGCTTGGGTGACTGGTCTACCAAAACTAAGAAATCACCACTAAAGAACTTATTAATGTAACTAAAAGCCACCTGTACCCCAAAGAGTATTGAAATAAAAATTAAGAAATAATTTAAGAATATCCTCTTCTGGACATTGGCCTAGGAAGACAACTCATGATTGAGATCTCAGAGTACAAGAAACTAAAACAAAAATAAACAAATAGGACTTGATTAACCTAAAACGCTTCTGCACAGCAAAATAAATAATCAATAAAGTGAACAGACAACCTTCAGATTGGGAGAAAATATTTGCAAATTATGCATCCAACAGCAGACTAACATCCAGAATTTACAAGGAATTCAAGCAACTCAACAACTTCAAAATACAACCAAATAACTCAATTAAAAAGTGGACAAACAACATGAATAGGCATTTTTCAAAAAAGACACACAAATAGCCAGCCGACGTATGAAAAAATGCTCAACATCACCAATCATCAGAGACATGCAAATTAAAACCACAATGGGGCATCATCTTATACCAATCAGAATGGTCATTATTAAAAAGTAAAAAAAAAAATAGATGTTGGTGAAGATGCAGAGAAATGGAACGTTCATGCACTGTTGATGGGAATGTAAATTAGTACAACCGCTATGGAAAATAGTATGGAAATTTTTCAGAGAACTAAAAACAGAACTGTGATTTGAGCCAGCAATCGCACTGCTGGATATCTACCCAAAGGAAAAGAAATCATTATATAAAAAGGATACCAGCACAAGTATGTTTATTGATTCATTATTCATGATAACAAAAATGTGGAATCAACCTAAGTGTCCACCAATTGATGACTGGATAAAGAAAATTATTTATACACACATACACATACATATACATACACACAATGGAATACTATTTAGCAATAACAAGGAATAAAATCATGTCTTCTACGGCAAAAAAATTAACAAACAGCAACAACAAAAACTAAATTTGAATTAAGCCCTGTCTAAGTTGTTATGTTTTGTCTGAAATTGCTTTTGTTCTTGTTTGTTTGTTTTTTAAACTAAGAATACCAGAAGAAGCAGGATCAAAGATATGAATCACTGTTTCTGCCACTCAGGAGTTTAGGAATCATTAAAAAATGAGACATTAAATATTCTGTAATAACCTTGAGAGAGAAGGGCCGTTAAGGAGCAATGACAGATGCCAGGAAAAACGACAAAAATAATATGAATCCCTGCTCACAGGGGTGTGGTATTCTTCCTACTACTTGAACCTGAAGACCACATTTGACTTCTGACTTTGCTTAATGAAAAAACAAAGTCACCGAGGATATATTTCAAGGCGTGTCTGAACAACGTATCTGTCCTTATACCCTTCTATACTGAATAAGGACACTATGAAGATATTATAACTTTAGATAAAGTTTGGATTTAGAGGGAGTTATTTGTGATTGCAGCTCTTAATACCTTTTAAAAATTATTGCAACACCAGGACATTATCCTCTAACATAACAACCTTAATGTTAAGAGCAGTTAATTTAAAAGAGCAATTTATTTAAGCCATATGTAGAGGTGAGGAATATTGTCATATAGGTCTATCTCTGATTCCAACCTCTCATTTATACCTTGTGTGTTACCTTGTGTGTTCATGTGAGGATGCAGATACATACACACACACACACACACACATATACACACACACACATTTCACAGCACCAACATGAAAATAGATATAGAATATAACTTTTAAAGAAAGTTAATATAAGTAAAGTATGATGGTGAGAAGGAAGAGTGGAGGCACTTTTTGTGTAAAACATTTAACTTAACAGTCTTTTGGAGGAATTAGATGCATCACTGCTGTATTACAACTGAGCCGTTAATCTTGAAGCTTCATCAGTATTAACTTTGTTCACTTTCATCATGTTGCTGAGACGCTCATCATTTCTGCAGAGGTTCGAGAGAAAGGCCTTTTGAGCAGTGTACAAGTTCTTTTTGTATATTTACAAAAGCTTTATTCACTTTCTTAACTTCTAAATCATGAATAATATTTATCTTCTTAAGGTTAGTGGTAACTAGTGTTGCTTTGTTTTTAGTCTTCAGGTGTTTTTTGGCTTGCTATGTGAAATACATTCCTGGCCTTTGCCCTCTTAATTTGTTCTTGTCCATTGTCTATAATACGCATGTGCAGCTTCTTAAGCTTCAAGTGATGCCATCTATTGAGTGAATAAACTAAATGTTTGTCTTTAAACTGCTCTGATCTTTCTAGAAGCCAAGGGAAAAGGAGAAACATTAAAATATACCCCAGCTGTTTTTATTGATTAATTTTATACTGGTAGATCCATTTTGGTTTACTGGATGAACCAGATTTCCAGTTGATATTCCTAAGGGACAACTGTTGTATGGTGGAGAATATTAAACAAATGACAATACTTTGGTAATATTGTTATGAAAAAATATTTATTATATTGACCAGGGGTCTACAAAGTATTTTCTTAAGTTCTATGTTATACAAGTAAGATGATTTTTAAGTAAATCAACTTCCTTTTTTTGATTATGAATTTCAAAAATGCTGCTAATAAAAGAAATTATTTCAAATCCACAGTGAAATGCTCATTGCCTGCTAAAACACTATTTTTTTTTAGTTTTTGTAAACTTAGATAAAAAGACAATTATGTGAGGCAAACGTTATTTGTGTGACCAGATAGGAGTCTTTGTGGAATTCAGTTATTTTAATGTGACCTCTCTTTCAGAATGAAGTTAATTTTCCATAGAATGATGGCCTTCTCTGTTGTTAAGATATCTTAAGTTTCACAGTGACCTCAGGTAATATGGTAATATTAACTTTCCTCATCAATCTTATTTAGAACCAAAGAGATTAAAAAGAAGTTAGTTTACATGGAAGTGTTCACTTAGTTTGATTTTTTAATTTATTTCAATTAATATTTGAAATTGATGCTTTAAAATAATCCTTATTTTAAATACTATCTTCAGTTTAATTCGTGGATTAGGTGAAAAATATTTAACAGAAATTTTTCTGTAGTCTGGGAATATATCGCGAAATTTATACATTTCAAACTTTACCTCTGAAATAGAAGTAGGATTATCTTCATTTAAATAATTTCACTTATTATGGTATGGTGAATTTAAGGTGATCAACTTAACTGTTTGTCAGGGACTTTCCTTTTTTAAAAGCTAAAAGTCTTGTGTCTACTAAATTACTCAGTCCTAGGGAAATTGGGATGGTTACATTTCCTAAGTGTAGATTATACACTCAAAGCTTTATTTCTGAAATTAAGGAGGATGAGGAGCAGAGCTGTATTTGACATGTCATGAGAGAGAGAAATGATCCTCTGTTGCTGTAGGTTTCTAAACTGTGTGTGTGTGTGTGTCTGT